TGAAGAAGCGCTAACAGTCTTTCATTCCATACGAACTTCTGTGCTTCCTCGGTGAGGCGGGTCAATGGTTTCGCTGAATTTGCAAAAGCAGGAACAAACCGTCTGTACTACGTGCAGGAATCGGCCATTCCTTAATTGCGCGCACTTTTTCCGTACCAACTGCATCACCGACCCTACTTACTACCTGGCCCAGGTTGTTTCAAGGTTGCACCTCGGAGCCTCCGGAACACTTCTTCTAAAATGTTTAGATGCTCGTCGAATATCTTGCCTACTACGTTGATGTCGTCCAGGTAGACGAGGCATGTTTTCCTGGTCAGCCCCGACAACACCAACTCGATCAGCCTCTTGAACGTAGCAGCCCGAAAGGCATTACGGTGAACTGTCAATTGTAAATGCAGTCCTCTCTCTGTCGGCAGGAACCTTCTCCACCTGCCACTATCGAGTCTCCAAATCCAATGTTGAGAGGAAGACAGACCTAGACAACGCATCCAACGTGTCATCGATGCGTGGCATAGTTCCGCTATGACGGTCTCTCTCGGTCTGACGTTTTTTTTTTTTTTTTTGGTGAGGGGGGAATGCGTTCATGCACCATTACATAGCCCGAGCTACGGCGTGTGTGGGACTCCAGGTTGTCTTGAGGAGACCACCTAATACCCACTAAACCCTAACCTCCGCGTGGCCCGACTCATCAGCGTCTCGGAAGGCCATGTGTTGTGCGTGACCTGCGGTCTGCTACAACGTCTCCTCATGTGATTCAGTCTCTGGGAACGCCGGGTTGGTTCCCTTTACCTCTCACAGTTCTATCGATGTCGTTAAGCGAGCATCGATATAGGTTTGCTATGTTCTCTTGAAACCCTTGTTTTCGAAAAATCAAGAGTTTCAAGTCCTCTACTACTTGTATGTTACCTGGTCCTGATGGGTCCTGGTCCTGGTTGGTCCTGATCCTGATGGGTCCTGGTCCTGATGGGTCCTGGTCCTGGTTGATCCTGGTCCTGGTCCTGGTGGTTCCTGGTCCTGATGGGATCTGGCCGTGGTCGTCCTGGTCCTCGTCCTCTGCTTCCACGTAGTGGTTCCAGTTAGCGGGTGCGAACTGGGACCTTGGTCTAGGGTACTTGGCTCTGCGGTTGCGAGGCCTCTCGTCCAGAGAATGGTCTGACGTCTCCTTGGACACACGCCTTTACGATGGCAGGGTACGTGGTAACACCGGCTGCTGCTGAGCACTAAAACCTCTTTCATCGTTGTACGGGGGGAATTACATTTGACTTTCTCCGCCGAAATAGCAGCCGTTTTTGAGACTGACATGAGAGTTTCATAGTCGATTGTTATCTAAGCTGTGGTAATAGCACATAATTCTACCAAAGGCGTCGCTCTGTCAAAAATCATGTTCTATCAACGCCAACTTGAGTTCTATACGTTTGGTGAGATTAATATTGCTGTGACATTCAGGGGTTATCCGTGAAATGTTTTTACGCGTGTCCACAAAACAGTTTTATCAATACTACAATTATCTGGCGTGTATGCGTATGGGCAAATAATAAACACAAATGTCTTCATTCTGTAACTTGATATATGACATTCGTGATGTCAGGCTAATAACGCGTAACAACCCCTAGGAAAAAATCCTCCGGACGCGAATGAACAGAAGCGGGAAATGTGGTAAGTAGTTGGGGGACACGAAGATCAAAGGCACCGACAGCATGTGTCGTTTTTGTATAATCTGTGGTAATAGCATGATCTAGCATCTGGAAACTCAATTTTCACCTCTCCTTGGCGTAACAGTTTTTTCTGTCGCTGTTTTAGCAGCTTTTATTGCACCCGTGCCACCCCACGCTATGATAGTGGTACATCTGGGAGGTATCAGCAATAGCGGGATATGACGACACTCTCCTCCTCAATGTTATAATCATGCTTACTCCAATTAAAAAAAAGGCTTAGTGGCCTGTCAAACCTAGTACTATTATCATTAAGATACATCTAATGGTCCATCCATGTTACTTACTCAATATTTTCCATAATTTTTCACTGATACGGGACTCCATCCTTGTGGTTGCTGCCAGTATGAGAGAAAGATTGCGCGAAAAACGCTCAATAAATATACTGTCGTTTCGAAAACTTAAAACCTCGCCGCCACTGCGCATGACTATCTGACTGCCTTCAGAAATTACCCCATGTAACGCCTATGGCGACGCGACATTCGGATTCAACTGATACAGTGGCGCCATCTTCACCGTCAATTCTAAAATAAAATTCCTTAGAACAGGTCACTGTATTGTGTGATGTAAATATATTTAGTATTCATTATTAGATGTCGCACTATGCACAAAAGATCGTTTTATTTTTTTAAATGCCGCGCCGTCAAGTGCTGAGACAGGCCATCATACCAATTCATGACAACAAGGGTAATAAATAAAATATTATTTTATCTTTTCATTGCTTGTTTTTCAAAAACAACACACAAGCAAACAACATCAGGTACGAGCCTAGTCTTGAATACACGTTTTCGAAACTGGGATTCTAAAAGGAAAAATCATACTTCCTGTTTGAAATTATATTCACCAAATTTATTTAGGTTGGCAGACCTGTGCATTCTAGCAAATGGTAACTTCACTCGTTTCGAATTCCAATCGAGAAACCGTTTTAAAAAGCGATTTTGGTGAGAAATCTTTTTTAAACTTCTCAAACAATCAGGTGTATATTTTTATAGCGTGAGATATAGAAGACGTTGGTAAGTACCTTTGAGAGTGAAATTCCTTGGGACAATGCCCTCTTTAGAAATGAATCAGAGTCGGATAACGTCATTGACTGTAAGGGTAATTTATATTTTCCTCTGTTAACTGGCAAATCAGATATATTTTATAAGAATCCAGAAAACACGCATTTTGGCTTGAGACAAAAAATATGAACATTCCAGGGGAAAATTTGTAAAATAGTTATTTACCTGACAAGCGCAGAAAGTGTACACGAAGTAGCACTGTTATGCGTGCGGAAAAGTGCTACTTTCTGCACCCGGTTCCTTTTTTGAAAGCGAGTACTTTCCTGACGCTGGTAGAAAACAGTTGTTTACACTTTCCGCAAGTGTTGTATAAGATTTTTTATACACTGTTGGAAAATATTTATTTACCTAACAAGTGCGGAAGGTGATACTTTTCCGCACGTGACGGCAGTTAGACGAAAGACGCGAAGCGGTGTTCCGCACGGGTATCACGTATCTTGAAAAGTGACATTATGCCGATTTTTTTTTTGACATTATGTAGGTTTTTCTACAAGATATTAACTTAGCACTTAATTGTACGTGTTGCCTAAACGTTATGAGGCTCTGATGTGATGTAAAATCTGCTTCTGAGATGGCATTACCCGAGGTCTAAGCAGTAAGTTGTATGTGTTGATGATAATTGCATTGGGTTCTTGTCTCAAATACACTTAATTGAGATTCAAAGCTAGAAATTAGTTGCGCATCCACTTTATCTTATCCGTTCTGGAAATTACATATACAAATTTGCTGAATTTCAAAAATGAGAGAGATAAGAAATAATTATATTCACGGTACACTGTCGAATTACAAGGCTTATAGATGCTAACAGTATACGTAATTATTTGTTTTAGAAGCACTCAATTTTATTTTATTAACATTTAACCAGTCTATGATTTTTGTCAAGTCAGAATTTAGGTTTTTTAAAGCAGTGACTATATTTTCATGTGATACGTATACTGATGTATCATCTGCAAATATCTGAATTTTACAATAATCTAAAATATTACAAATGTCATTAATGTATAAAATAAATACATAGTAGTGGACCTGGTTGACTACCGTGTGGCACACCTACAGAAATATACTAAGTGACATATAAATCCGATCACCCAGTTTAAATGGTTTTATTTTAATAAAATTTTGTATAAGTACTTAATGAAGCATAATAAGTAAATGATAAAAATTTCAAAATGATTGCACTGCTTTAAAGCCCTTTGACCTTTAATAATGTGTGGATGCACCCTGATGTGCTACGCATTCTCCAACGCGCCTAGGCATGCTTCTGATCAGGTGGTCAATGTCCTCTTGTGGTATCTCATTCCAGGCAACTACCAACTCCTCTCGAAGTGCTTCTAGAGTCTGAGGAGGACGTTGCAAATTGAGCAATCTCCTACCCATCATATCCCACACGTGCTCAATTGGGGATAAGTCGGGAGATCTTGGTGGCCATGGTAACAATGTGACATCATTATGTTGAAAGAAGTCTATTGTGACTCTTGCAACATGTGGTCGGGCATTATCTTGTTGGAAAGTTGGATCTGCCAGGGTGTCAAGATAGGGTAAAAGATGGGGTTCTAGAACTTCGTGGATATAACGCTGCGCGTTCATGTTACCTCTGATGAAGATTAAAGGTGACCTGGAACCATAAGCTATAGCACCCCAAACCATAACTCCAATAGTGTGATGAACATGCCTGTCAACAAAAAACTGTGGATTCCTCCTTTCACCACGTCGCCTTCTAACCCTGGCACGACCATCGTGCATTCCTAAACAAAATCGAGACTCGTCACTAAAGACAATACTGTTCCATTCCTGATCCCAGAGTGACCGTTGTCTGCACCACTCAAGGCGATTACGTCGGTGTTCTCGAGTTAAAGGGAGGACCCAGTGTGGCCGGTATGAAAATAAGCCAAAACTTCTCATTCGTCGGTAAACACTTCGCATGCCAATAGGTCTTCCGTGTTCTGCAAACCATTCATTTGCAATGGACCTGGTAGTGGAGAAACGGTCCCTTAAGGCCAATAATCTTAGGCGGCGATCTTCAATAGTGTAAAACTGTAGATTTGGAAAATTTGGAAGATTTTTGAAAAACAATCTACAGTTAAAACTGTTGGGTTGGCAGCCCTGCCCGAAACAAAGATTTGAAGCTGGATGGAAGGGTTGCTAAATTCCCACCAATGACGAAGCAGTACGTGGCCGTACCGACGCCGTACGGTGCGAACTTACGCGCACTTTAGTTGCCGGTTAGCGTGGTTGGAGGATGCTTCGTCGAGACCTCCGGGTAACGCTCTGCTTCTGTTATTCGCGTTCTTATCCTGGTGTCCAGAGAAGTCTTTGTCGGCGATTCCCCGCAGTGTCGTCGTGTCGCGGTGGTGGTGTGAGTGATTTTGTGAGAATGTGTTGTGGTTGTTCATAAAAGGCGAGTGGTGTACCCTCACGTTGGATATCTTCTTCCCGATTTTCCTGGAGAAAGTGAATGTATTCACGGCAAGCTAGGTAGGTAGCTGTGCTAGCTTTCAGCTCATAATGTCAAGATTGACTTCTTTGTGTCGTGTTCAAAAGTCATTAGCATTTTTTCTCTAGGTTAAACGTTTTCATGATAGAGGCGATTAAAGTTCTGAGAAATCTTAAGAATGTCGATCTTCAATGCTTTAAAACGCATTTAAAACGACACTTTTAGACAGAAAAAACTTTTTTATACGCAATGTTCCAAAAAGCCTAAAGACAAAGTGTCCGGGGCATAAAAAACATTTTTTTTTGGCGTTTGTAATTGTTTAAACTTTGCAGCGAGTTACCTCCCGGCAACCTCGTGACTCATTAAAAAAATCGAGTTGGGAAATTTCTAGAACGCTATCATGTAAAAAAACTGAAAGCGAGATTTGTACACGTAAATACCGATTGTGTTGTGTTTATATCTTATGTCTCTCTCTCGTATAAAAAGTTGTTTACGTTTTTGAACGATATTCATGTTGTTTGTTTATAAGGGCTTGCACTAATTGAACTATATTCTAGTTGTATGTTTATAATGGCTTGCATAAAAGTACGTACTAGGGAAAGGAAGTTCTTTGCCAAAGTCCTGTAGGATGTTTACACAGGGTGTTCGAAAAATAGACGGAGATATTTTAGAGGGTGATTCCCATATGAAAGAAAGTTTCTATAAACTTGGGTCCCGAAATGCATTCAATATACAGGGTGATAAATTTTAGAACATTTTTTTTACTCTTACATATCATATGAAAGAAGCCGATGGGGAAACGCTTCTGCATACAGGCGCCTCCCTGCATAACATTTACTATAAGCACTTTTATACATTTTAAAGAGGATGAATTTGGAAGCTTTGCGAATAATCGAACTATATTCACGTTGTATGTTTATAAGGGCTTGTATTAAAGTACTAACTAGAGAAAGGGAGTTCTTTGCGAAAGTCCTGTAGGATGTTTACACTGGGTGTTCGAAAATTAGACGGAGATATTTTAGAGGGTGATTCCTGGTTAAAAGATATGAAAAAAAATTCTATAAACATGGATCTGGAAATGCACAGTTTTCAAGATACAGGGTGATAAATTAAATATTAAAGTTACAAAAAAGGTAGTGGCGGGCATTTTTTGCCAATAATAATTGCCGAGGTGCCTCCCTGGACGCCAGTGGACCTAATAATTTTATTCTATTTAGCCATAAAAGCTTTATTCAAAAGAATATAGAACAAACAAAACAAAATTAATGGTAACTGCTTAAAAATGATTACTTAACGTTTATTTCTTTCGTCGTTGATTGGTGTATGGTAAATTGTTATAGTAGCTACAAGTCTACAAAACTGTAAATGAGCTTGAACTGTAGAATATTATTAAAAAAACTGTAAATCAACAGCCTTCCATTTTACAATATTTTTCACGAGTATCTATAGCGGAACAAGGTCAGAAAGTGACAGTTTTGCATTTTTTAAGCAAATTCTTTCTGAGCCCTTGTCGTTCTGGTTGGCCTTGAGTGACATAAAAGGGACAGAATTTCCATTCAAAATTTCCAAATTCGCTAAGGCTATCCAAAACCACAACCGCTCAAAAAAAAATTATTTTTGCATCATGATTAGCTGTCATTTTTTGACATTGTTACGGATAGCACGCTTCTGACTTAACTTGAATCAAGTTCTTTTCGCAGCGGTCCTGATTCTGGTCGACCTTGTGTGATAAAAAATGTCAAAATTTGAATTAAATTCTGTCATTTTCATGTCACTTACAATAAAGCCAGTGTTGCCAGGTATAGTCGATCTGTTTTCGGTAAATTTGTGCGAAATTTTTCGGTAATCTGTAAACTGTAGTTTTGAAGGCCCAAACTGAAGATATTTGGAAAAATCTACAGTTAAAGCTGTACGGTTATCAACCCTGCTACTAGTTTCGGTTACGACCTTTGTTTCATACAACGGCGGTGTCATTCATCTTTTTTTCCCTTCACGGCAAGTTTTCAATTGAGCTGTCATTGTTTTTGCGGGTTGCCTATACCTCATGGGATTGTACTGCGTTAAGAATATGTGTTGCCAGTTCTAACTACAAAACATCAAATTTGTGACATTCATCTTTTTTTTCCCTGTACCCTTTTCTGTCCAAAATGTGAGAGTGATAGTTTTAATAACGCAGTACTTGTATACTCAAGCTGTTTCTACTTGTTCCAGGGACTAGGGCAGTTTGCTGAAAGGTAAGTGCATTTAGCGTTTTCTTATTGATGTAGGATTCACAGCCGATCACAAGCAAGAACTGCGAGACTACCAGCCTGCCCTCGCCCCAGGGTGCCCTATTTAGATAGTTAGGGATCACTAGGAAAAAGCGTCTGTTCGGTAGAAAAATCAGGAAAAACGTTTGCGTCAGATAATTCCAAATGGGCGGTCGTGAATAGCCAGTAGCTAGCGAAATGTTAGGGAATTTAGTTTGGGCACTCTGCATTGTGGGGGCACATCGAGGGATACAGACGACTTATCTTGCCCCTGCTGAGAATGTGCAGGGGCACATACATCGAGGGCTGCAGACGACATGCAGAGAATGCGGGTGTACATCAGAGGTAAATGTGTTTTTATCAATAGGACTTCTATGTAATATATTTTGATAATTTATTGACATATTTTGAATATCCTTACCAAAAAACTATTTCCAGTGGCTCATCGAACTACGGAGACGTACAAGGGGTATTTTCCATGTGCGAACTAACCAGTTTTTACAAAAGGTGTCAATATATTCTAGCGAACTATTTTATGTATATCTAGATATTTGAAAACATGAGTACAATACAATGGAAACAAACTACGAAAATAGTGCCTGAGTAACTTCTTTTTTTTAGATAAGAGAAAGCTTTTATAGCCGTTCGCATGCAGAAACGCTCGATAGAGTGTTCCCATACGCTTTTCCTGCCCAAAGTGTGAGAATGAGAAAACTCTCACTAACGTAGTACTGCTGTTTATACTTTTACAGGGACTATGGCAGTTTGCTGGAATGTACGTTCATTTATCGTTTTCTTCTTGGTGTGCACAGTCGTTCCGAGAGAGAAAAGTTGAAAAACGTGGCGGACGACCCTTCATACTGCCATCGGTCAGTCAGGGTGCCCCATTTATATAGTTGGGGATCACTAGGAAAAAGCATCAGTTCGGTAGAAAACCTAGGAAAAATAACAAAACGGTTGCAAACTTCGAAAGTAGAGAGAATCGGAGTATATAAAACATATGCTTCAAGAAAAACGTTTGTATCAGAGAACTTCAAATAAGTGGTCGGGGCAGAGGTAATTTGTTTTTATATTTTATATAGGACTTCTATGTAATAGGTTTTCTCATAAAATTTTCTGAAGTATTATAGGGTTTGGTTATTGCCTTCAAATAGCAAAACTGTGATGAACTTCAACGATTGCATTGTGCAAAGGTGCGTCAAGAAAAGGGAAAAGTGAAGGAAAGAACTCCCCTGGGTCCATAGCCGAGCTGTTAATCAGGGATTCAGAATTTAAAAAACACTGCTGGGTAATAATATGGTATTAACGTAAGCACACACAGGTATCATGATATGATACACTCCACCGCTGTATTGAAAACGATTATTACTTTTTACAAGCAATGTGTGAAGAAATTTTTCGTGGTAAATAATTTTCAGAGAGATGTCTTGCAAAACACGTCCAGTGTTTCTGAGGAATGAGATATGTGAAAAGCTCAGGTTTCATAAGTGTAAATGCTAAGTAACCAGATAAGAAGGTATTACTGGTAGTAGTAGTAGCAGTAGTAGTTCTGGTAATACTTAGTGATAGTAGGGTTAGTAGTAGATATTAGAGGTATGAGGCAAGATGTCCCAGCATGCAAGGTGGTTTGTAAAACTTCAGGCTGTGGCCCCGCGAAGGTCTCCAAAACTATATTTGTTATTATATGTTTTTTTGATTACATTTGGTATTCACTATTTTTATTTTACTATCGTCAGCTGGATAAAACACCTTTATTTATTGAGAAAATATGATTATTTATGCTTTAAAATTGTAGCGCAAGTGTTTTTCTTAGTTTGTTTCAGCTTTTAGGTGAGAACGAGAACATTCCGTATTTCAGGAATGGTGATAAATATTGATGATAATGATATATTATAATTTTAATTTCAGCTTACCTTTGATATTTACTCTATTTCTATCAGGTACATATTTCACGAACATGTCTATTTTTATCAAGCTTTGGAGGGGTGACACCCCCAATTTCAGGAATGGCATACGATATAGACACTCCCGAGCGTGATAAACGTGAGATAATGATTTGTATAGGCAACTGTTCCAAAAATGTTCTGCCTGGATAGCCAGATGAATGTTTTATCGGACAAACACGAGACGGGTAAAGATAGAGGTTGAATAGGGACAATAGAAAGATGTTAACAATGACTAAAGTCCCGATTTATAGTATGCTGCAATACATGAAAGCAGCAATCAAACGAACATCAAATTTTTTACAGGGTAAGCATTTGAGAGTATGACATCAAGAAGGTTGGTTTTGAACTTCACGAACCACTGAAGTATAGATAGTGTTAAAGATCTTGGAAGTGTTCCAAAGAGATGTATTTTCTAAACTTACCCTAAGAAAAGCAAAAGCTTTCCACTCAAATTATACTTAAATAAATACAAAGTCAAGCTACTTGATGTTTCAAAACAAGCAGAGGTGGGAATACTTATGTGAACTCTCTTTACAGATAAATATGTGGATAGCAGTAGTATGGTCTACTGTCAATATATTGATGAAGTTTTACGAAATACAGTCAGGTTCCAAGCAAAAGCTTCTAAAAATGTTCAAGATTTTCATACAAATTTTGAAGAAATTAAGGGACATATTTGGGAAACTAACGATGAGGCAAAAAGTTATACGAATATCAATTGAATTAATGATCGAAATAATGAACAGGTATTTTTTACATAATCTTAAAAACTTTTATTTATTCTTCATGTTTCACTGACGTCTTACCCGATAAGTCAATCTTATCAGGAAATATAACTATGAACCTATTACAAAAAGCAGCGGCGCCATAAAAGAAAGCTTTCGCCAAACTTTATTTTTCTAACAACTTATCAGAAAGATGCCAGTAAACTACGAGGGGCGTTTTTACAGTAAGAACCAATTGCACATCCTGTAGCGTGACCGTTCAATCTCAGACACTCTTGGCCAGCCTCTTACTATGCTGCTATAAAAAAATTCATGTTCCATCAGTTTGGTTGGAGAATTGAACGTTAAAAGAGGGTCATAGAGAATTGTTTCTACTTTCAAACATTTCTTATAAACGCAAAAACTTTGATTTCATTGAAGATACGCGAAAAAAATGGTTAAGGAATTTCAAGAAGATATTGAAAAATCACAAAACAACACCTCTACACAGTTTACCAATATGTGTTTTGAACTGTTATTCTAGCTAGTTTTCAACCTTCCTCTGCAAAAAACAACGATTTTTTATAGTTTCACATCCATTTTCCTTAAAAAAGGAACATTTCTACTGATGTCGTCAATTTCTTTCCAAAAAAAAAGATAACTTCGGTCTTTATGCGCTAAAGTATACTAAGTGACATATACATCCGAACACCCAGTTTAAATGGCTTTATTTTAATAAAATTTTGTATAAGTACTTAATGAAGCATAATAAGTAAATGATAAAAATTTCAAAATGATTGCACTGCTTTAAAGCCCTTTGACCTTTAATAATGTGTGGATGCACCCTGATATGCTACGCATTCTCCAACGCGCCTAGGCATGCTTCTGATCAGGTGGTCAATGTCCTCCTGTGGTATCTCATTCCAGGCAACCACCAACTCCTCTCGAAGTGCTTCTAGAGTCTGAGGAGGACGTTGCAAATTGAGCAATCTCCTACCCATCATATCCCACACGTGCTCAATTGGGGATAAGTCAGGAGATCTTGGTGGCCATGGTAACAATGTGACATCATTATGTTGAAAGAAGTCTATTATGACTCTTGCAACATGTGGTCGGGCATTATCTTGTTGGAAAGTTGGATCTGCCGGTGTGTCAAGATAGGGTAAAAGATGGGGTTCTAGAACTTCGTGGATATAACGCTGCGCGTTCATATTACCTCTGAATAAAATTAAATGTAACCTGGAACCATAAGCTATAGCACCCCAAACCATAACTCCAACAGTGTGATGAACATGTCTTTCAACAAAAAACTGTGGATTCCTCCTTTCACCACGTCGCCTTCTAACCCTGGCACGACCATCGTGCATGCCTAAACAAAATCGAGACTCGTCACTAAAGACAATACTGTTCCATTCCTGATCCCAGAGTGACCGTTGTCTGCACCACTCAAGGCGATTACGTCGGTGTTCTCGAGTTAAAGGGAGGACCCAGTGTGGCCGGTATGAAAACAAGCCAAAACTTCTCATTCGTCGGTAAACACTTCGCATGCCAATAGGTCTTCCGTGTTCTGCAAACCATTCATTTGCAACGGACCTGGTATTGGAGAAACGGTCCCTTAAGGCCAATAATCTTAGGCGGCGATCTTCACGGTCTGTTGTTCTACGGCGGCGTCCAGTCACTTAGTATATATTCTAACCAAAGCTCATGCTTGCTTATCGCTGTCCTGGGCTAAGCTGGTTATGCGGGGTGCCATCTGAAAATCTCAGCATGCTACAGGATCTTTCACACTATTGTAGTAACACACCGTAACAAAATGAAAATAATTACCTGGAAGACAGATAAATAACATATATCGTCCAGATCATTGTACTGAAGAATGTCAATTCTTCCATCTAGAAACTATTTGTAAATCAAAATTGCGCGTTTGTGTTTGATAGAAATTAAGACGAGCGAAATAGTCGACATGAAAACCACGGAATAAAAGTTTCAGATGCTACATTAACCAAAAATTGGTACCACGACTTGACTTGTCAATGTTTATGGTGACTGTGTTAAAAAACGAAAAATCTTTATACTTCAGTTTGTGATGCAATTTACATTGATAAATAAAATTTTTCTGGCTCAAATACAAAACGGTTCTTACTTAAAAAATTACCCTCGTAGAAACCGTTACTTCAATGCTACATTTTTTTTTAGGTCAATGTGGCATGCTGGTAGATTATGGATTTTTGATTGTACAAATGAACCCAGAATTGTGGAACTTCTTGATTTTTCTTCACCTGAGCAGTGACGGTTGAGGTTTTCTAGGGGTTTCCCTTACCCATGTGCGAATGCAGTCACCAAAAATCATACTCCCCTAATTAAAATAGCAGAGAAGATGAAAATCATAGTTGTCCTATTAATGATAATGTAATTTAAGATCAAATAGATATTAAATATATTTATGTAGTAAAACTTTGTTTTTTTTCATAAAAGAAATAGGCAGAAAATATTTTCTCCTCCTAGGCCCGTATCGTCAGTCGTCCCTACAATTGTAGGGCGCGTTTATGGCCTCCTTGATTGTCATCTTCCTTTCTCTCCTTCAAAAATTTCTAGAATACACTTGTCCCGTGTCAGCGTCAGCGCTCCCCTATTGTGAAGATATGTTTTCTTTTTAAATTGTAGGAAATTTCAGGCTGATAAAACATGATATAACTCAAAAGCAAGCACAATTTGATGCAAATAGATTTTTGTGACATAACCTCAAAATAGAGTTCTGATACGGAGAAGCAGAAAACTATGACCTTACGAGACTATGACAATCAAGGAGGCCATAAAGGCGCCCTACAATTGTAGGGATGACTGACGATACGGGCCTTAAAGCCCTGTTCGCACAGGTGCCGTCACCTGTCAGTGATCATGTCCAGGATCCCGCCAGACAAATTTCGCTCATTCTGCTACGCTATATAGATTCAAATTCCAGACACACCCACCGGCAGCTCACCGACCACCAGCGTCGCCAACCCCATCCGAGAGAATAACTGCATATGAGCTCGAAAAAAACTGTAGAATATTGTTTAAAAAACTGTATTTTTCACGAGTATCTAGCGCGGACCAAGGTCAGAAAGTGACAGTTTTGCATTGCTTAAACAAATTATTCTTTTTGAGCAGTTGTGGTTCTGGTTGGCCTTGACTGACATAAAAATGACAGGATTTCCATTCAAATTTTTCCAAATTTACTAAAGGCCAACCAGAACCACAACCGCTCAAAATAATTTGCTTTTTGCATGCATGATCAGCTGTCTTTTTAACATTGTACCGCTATAAAAGGTGTCCGGTAAATAGTACGACAAAAAATGGGGAAGGTAGGCGAAGGGCAGATCTACAAAATACCAAAAAATGACCCTAGTAAAAGTTTCACTGTTTTTGAGATATCAATTGTTTTTTCTTACCTAACTTAATTCAAGTTCTTTTCGTAGCCGTTCTGATTCTTTTTGACTGAGTGATATAAAAAAGAAAATTTGAATTGGATCATGTCATTTGTATGTCACTTAAGGTCAACCGGAACCAGAAAAGCTGCAAAAAAATTTGATACGAAGTAGATTTTACGTATAATTCGATCTGGCAAGTGGTAGCTTTTACTAAGACCGAGCTATTGTATGGACTTCCGACTGTACGAACAAACCGAAAACTGGGGATTTTTAAAAGTATTCAGAGTCATTAACGTTCTACCGGTGGTTTTGGCATTTTCGGACTGAATGGGCCCCAGATTCGGTTGCAGCGACCCAAAAAACGTTGTTGGGCTCACGTTCCCGACTGACCAATTTTTTGCAGTTTTGGAACTATACATTTTGAGTCGCTAAAGTGAAATCGGATGTAATTTCACATGTATCTAATCTCGTTAAATATGTAGATCTAATTACTTAGCGAAAAATTGCAAAAATATTCGTTTTTTGCGAAAGTGAAAAAAATCCATTCTTATTATCGAAGGCTACATGTGAGCGGAACGTTGTACGATAACGTAATTTGAGGCGTTGAATATGGGCATCATAGAAACACAATTCTAAATTTTTCGTAACGATAGCTATCAAAGTTTTGTATAACAAGGTAATTTGGGGCGCTGAATACAGACTAGAAAATCTGTGTTGAAACGAGTGGTTTCTTAAAGACCGGGGATTTTCTATTCTATCTTTGTTATTTCAAAACTAATTGAATTTCGGCTCTTCAATCTAATTTGTTTTCTTTTTATTTATACGAAAACAGTGCACTCTAGGAAAAAAATAAGAGTAATTATTTGTAGCAAATTGAAGGTAAAATAAGTTCGAAAAAATGCGCGTTTTGAAAAAAAAATAGTGGCGTACTATTTTTATTTGGAAAAATTATACCACTAGTCCCCTGTATCTCCGCCACTGGTGCACGCTATTTTTAAGTAAATACTTTTAGATCTGGACAATACTTAGGTAAATCCATATACCAAATTTTAATTAATTCCAGTTGACGGTTTTGAAGGTATCTTTTTAAGCCTGGAATACTAACCATCGTAAATTTTATGACGCTAAAATGTTTATGCTCGGGATTTTATCGTCGCTGGGTGAAGCCCTCGAGGAAATAATGTTTCATTTTTGGTCACGACTTGTGAATCGCCCTGTATAAGTATCATAGCGCAAAGGTTCTATAGTATAGTGCCATCGGACCCGATTTGGGATGAAAAATTGGTAGTGAATCCTAGAACTCTGATTTGACATCGAATTCAGAATATCTATAAGCACCCGATTTATCTAGAAAACAAGCTGCTAGAGCTGGAGATTTTTTGATTAGTCGCTTTTAGCAGCACAAAAAACGTATTCTAAGAATGGTTGTCCTTACGCCAGACATACCCATTTTTTGCAGTATTTCAGATTGTAACAAAAGACGTAGGTGATATTATTAAAGGTGGGTTTACACGCTACGTCTTATTGTACGTTTTGTGAAACAGTACAAATCCTATCCAATAAAACGTAGCGTGTAAACAACGTACGTCTTATTGAATCAAAATGAAATCCATGGTGAGATTGAAAAACTGATGGGAGAAACATCATTTTGCGAGAACTGATAGGGCAAAACGAAACGTGTAGGTAGACTCATGTTCAGACAAGACGTCCGATCTTGGCTCAGTACACGAGTAGCTCCACTTCAGTTCGCTTCCTTTCTCCCCAAAAAACCTATTATAGTCAGACTTGCGGCAATGCACCCACGATTTTCTCGGTTATTTCAATAACGAAACGTGGGAATACTAGTTTCTCTTCAGAAGCCATTCCCTTGAACATCTTGTCTTTTCCCTCTTCATCTCTTTTCTTCCTAGCCGTTGTAAATAAAAGAAAGCAACCGTGTTTCCTCCATAATAAAAAAAATCTCTCAAAAAAATTCAGTAACTAAACTTCACACAATTCAAGAGTCTAGATTGAAATGTAGACGTAGCGTGTAAACCCGCCTTCACGTATAGTATATTCAGTGAATCAAACCAGTCTCCGATACCTTACCGCAACCAACATTACAGCGTATGTTTCGTTAACGCTAGAGCTAGTGACAGTGGCGGATCGCAACTAACATTACAGTATCGGCTACTGGGAAAGGAATAACACATTTTAAAACAGATACTTGAAAGTTTTACTACCCACTCAAACAGCTATAAGAAAAATGAACATTTAAATGAAATTTGTTCAAAGTATTTATTATACGAAATTCTCAGAATAAACACTACGTATAAATAATGGCAATAAATATTTTATTTTAAAAAAGTGCCCGTCACTAGACCTCTCTGAATTCCTATCACTATCTTTCTCATTCATAATAATTGATAAAATGCCAGCTTGGTCTAGATATTTTTCTCTGAATTTCATTGTATGGACAAATTTCAGCTGTAACAGTTTGTAAAGCTTTTCGCCATAAATTGATACAGTGCTCAGTGCTCTACTTTTCTGCCATCTCGACACACGTTTGTTGTAGTAGGAAAGCCTTTTTGTACGCCACTGGTATAAAATAATGCGACATCTTTGAATGGATTGTTGAACTACTTGAGCAAACTGAGTTCTTTACAGATTTCGTTTTTATATTTGTAATAGTTTGTCAGTAGATGTCACTATAAGTATCTTTGATAGCTGTTTTTTCCTAGTTTTATTTGATGATCACAACCACAAAACACAGCATACGCACACTTTCTGCGTGTTAAATTAAAAAAAAATGAAAATGATAAATAAGCTGAAGTTCGTATATTTAAATTCGGCTGAAAAATAGTTGATGCATAAGTGCATCCTGTTCAGAGTCCGTCTCTTTCTAACTTGCTTCTGTCTCGCTCTTCACTTCCCGTCCAGCCGAGCAGGAAAGGTTTTTGACACTGACAGACTAAGTTGTTTGGTGTTGGTGACTGTTGCAAGCAGAGAGTGACAGATTCGCAGTTTACAAACCCAAATAAACTGAAAGTAACATGATGTAGTGTGAATACGCGGAAAAGTGCACATTGTTGATCGCAGATTCAGCAACCAGCTTTCGTCGTGCAGTTATGTGAATGCATCCGTCGTTGCGGTGTGCGGATTTCCTGTCGAGATGACCGAAAAGTTGAACAAGTCCCTTACTGGGGCGGGAACCTCGGTCCCCAACAAAATGAGACTTTACGCGACTTGGGTTGATAGAACCCCCTCGAACTGCATACCAAGGTGAGAGCCCATCTTTACAGAGCTAACTCAGCTTGGTGTAATGCTAGCTGCTTCTACTGCTTGATGACTAATGTGTCTTTGTCTCCGGTTTCTGATATTTTATCTTCAAATGCAGTTTGGTATTGTATCAAAGCTGTCCTTGTAGTATCAGTAATGTAATGAGTTATTCCTTCACAATATCCTTAATTTGTTGATAGCATGGATAATTGCTGTCAGTGTGAAATGTGTACCTACACATTGATAGGCAGATGTAAATCTTGTCATTTTATCAAATAAGCTTGTGACTAAAGAACTAAAAATAATATCAAAATATCTAAAGCCAACAGTGGGAGTTCTGTAGAAGAACACATTTTATTTTGCAACTTACAGGGACACCATTCAATTACTTATAATGACAAAATAGTCACTTTCTGGGGTGGAAACCTTAGTCACACATAAAATGAGACTTAGTCACTTTCTGGGATGGAAACTTTATTCACAAATAAAAGAGACTTTATTCCCCTTGGTTGATTGAATCTGCTCAAACTGCATAGTAAGTTAAGGACCAATCTTTGTAGATACTGTCCTAGCTGATGACTAATATTATATCTAATTCTTGTCTAATTGTGTCATATTGCTATCCTTGCACTTTATCTGAATATCTAGATAGTTAGCTTTATTTCCATATGAAGATAATGAAAATGGCATATACCTTATAGCAATCCTTATGCTATGTAGTGACTATGGATGCAAATTCTGAGGAAATTTAGTTTTGAAAAGTATGTCCGAGATCCTCTTCAGAACATGGCAGTCACACTATGTGAATTGTCTGATATTTGGTAGTCATTGCATTTCTACCACATAGCAAAGTACACAAACCTTATTTTTATGAATGTCCCTTACTGAAGTTACTGTTGTTAAATGGTGAAAAAACAGCATGTCAGCCCTTTATTTTCTAGTAGAGATGATAAAGGTGAGATTGCAAGCTTATTATTGATAATTTTTGTCTCTCATGTCTCATATCCCACAGTAAACTGTTCTGGTACACAAGAATAATCAATTTATCATTGTCTAAGTTGAAATAACAAGGAACAAGGAAAGAGGCAGATGTTACTTTGCATTGTTACAAAGTAATGTTCAGCACTGGTGGACACTTCCCACCAGATATAACCTCAGCCAGAAGCTTTAATCACTATAAATAGACCTCACTTCTTTTTTGTAAGTGCATTTCAAAAATGTTTTTTAAAAAAGTTAGTCTAATATAAAGTTTTTCATGCAGTGTTTGCTATTGAACAAATTGTTCCATTTTAAAAAATACAACTTCATTTGATAGCTCTCATTCTGTATATACAAAAAAAGCCTAGCATGTATATTAGAAACTAATTTTTGTATTGAATCTTTTTTCTAAACCATCATACATGGTAGAGAGAGGTCAATTTATAATAAGACATCTTGTTTAAAGCGTCTACCAGAAGTTATAGCCAGCGTGAAGTGTCTAGCAGTGGTGATTACTATTTTGTTACCATATTTTACAAAGTATGTATAAAAATCAGCTCTCAGATTATAAGCTAACTTGGTCTTATTTTTACTTAACCTCTCTCACACCTATTTCCAGTAATTGCCCTTGTACCCAAATTGTATCAGATTTTGTCTTTTAGGAAATAAGTAATGTATGGAGCCCTGGGATCTTAACCATCAGCCTGAAATGTATAAACATTAATAGGTAGATCTTATAAATGTAATGACATCAATTAAACAGGATTTATTTTAATTTATTGCATAAGCTTGTGATTGCAAAAAATAAATACAAAGCACATTTCACTCTATAAGTAGTAGTAGTGACCACCTTTTTGGCCCTTTTTGCTAGCCCCAAAGTACCAACAATATTCTAGTCCATAAGCCATTTACTGGTAACTGATTATTGAATCAACCAGCCCTGCCATGCAGAGTGCTCCTATGTTGGTACTGATTCTATTGAATAAGTTTGTGACACAATACAAAGTGTAAAGACAACAACTATTTAAATCATGTAGAAAAAGCAAAATTTCACTCTATAAACTGTAATCACAATGCAATCAGTTGGTCTAGCTAAGAAATGTCCAAATGACAAAATTCTGATAAAGTTGTAAGGCAGTAGACATCTAGAGGACCCTCTGTTTGTGTGGCCTTTGAATAACTCATAATCTGATATTTTCAAAACAAAAAGCAATTTCTTTCCCAGACCCTTTATTGAGCCCCTTCAGCTGTAGGCTCATGTTTCTGTGTTATCTGAGGCATATGCATGGGTTAAGAGTTGAGACATCCTCAAATGCTTTTTTGGAAGTACATATATATTTGACCTGACATAATTTTCTACTAAACTATTACTTTAATGAAATTTCTCAATATGTCACTTGGGAATATCTGCATTACATTTCCAATGTGGTACTGCCCTATCATCTGGTAGCCAACAATTTCAAAAAGTGGGTTAGTTTATTTATAATAAAATAATAAGATGTTCCTTCCCTTAACAGATGTGTATCATTACAATTACTGCATTCAACTGATTGATCCAATGTCAATACCTTATGCCAATACACTCGCCAATCATATTGTGTTTATAAAAATGTCTACATAAAACAAACTATATAATTTGATTCATCAAACGATTTTAGAACTTTTATTAGTCTATTTTCCACTTATATCTCTACATCAAGTTATTTATGTCTTAATTTTGAATATAAACAATAACTGGACCTCACACATCTTTGTTTTCATTTTAGTCTTTAGAAAATAAATAATGAATCCAAGAAGTTTTCTGAACCATTAAGCTTCATGAGCTCATGTGAAATTGTATTTTAGAGGTTTGATAAGTTTTTTCTCAGAATAATATGTTTATTACCAATAACAGGATGTTCAACTTTAAATCAAATTAATTTTGTTATAAATAGACGGTTTATAAGTTAGAATAAGTAAAAATCTGTTTATATGTAAGTATGTTTCATAGATTTAATGAGATCTTATACATACCAGGTGTTTCAAATTCGACTCTGACAGAAATGGCAAGAGATATGAAGGCAATTAAATGAAGGAAGTTGCAAAGTTAGCTAACCAAGAAAAATGCACTTAGAATGTTTTGGGATTCTGAGTATTTCCGGAGATAGACGAAAGAATCTACCTAAAAAATCAGTTTTTTTCCAGACTTTACCTGAGATTGATTTCCAAATAAAAAGTATACTTTATCTGAAGTCACTTGAAACACTGTGAAATACCGGGCGCGTTTTATACATCTATATTTAACACGCTCTGTTGCTGCAAAAATCGCCAAATTTCGCAGCAAATATCCCCCTGGCATATCAAAGGCAGTTTCACCGGTCCACGTGGAGTAAAGCACGCCTATGCGTGGACATAGCCAATGAGAAAGCGTGTATTTCAGAGCTCCGAACAAGTGCAGGTGGCTACTGAAAATTGAAACAGTTTAGCCAATGCCGTGTAGCGGTGAATACACGTGTTTTCTTTAGTCTGTCCGTGTTTTTTCATAGATTTTATTAGTTTGTGTGTTTTTGACTTTTGAATACTCAGTTTACTTGTTGATTTAATTGTTGTGTTGATTGTTCTTGTGTGTCCTAAATATGGCTCTTTGGAGACCTTGGGAAAGTGCTCCAAGCCACGAGGAGATGGTTGATGAACCTGTGCAGGCAGAATTCTTTCATAAAGATTTAGAGGAACAGACCCAAAGAGTAATCCTAAATATGTATGATTGTCTGAAAAACGAAAATCCAGATTCCTCACAAAGTCAAATTTTAAACAGAATTTGTATCCTGACAAAAATCAGTCGGTCTACCATTTATCGGGTTATAAAAAGGGGAGATGTAGTCAACCATTCCTTCCACAGAAAGCGCATAGGGCAAAAATTAAAAAGAATAGACGTGGGTTTTCAGGAAGATATGCGTCGTATAATATACGGATTTTATAAAGAAAATTTGGTGCCCACGTTGGAAATGATACGGGATAAATTAAAAGATTATCCTGAAGATTTTTATAATTACAAATGCTTAGACTCACTGCACTGTATTGTAAAACTGTGTGGTTTTCAATACAAAAAATTAGATAAAAGAATGGTGATTATGGAGTCGTCTCGAATCGTTGAATTGCGCCAAGAATTTTTGCACAAAGTTAAAATCTATAGAGAGCAGAAAAGAAATCTGATTTACCTGGATGAAACGTGGTATGATACCCATGATGTTGTGCAGTACGGCTGGGTTGACGACAGCAACAAGTGCATTTTAAATGCACCATGCAACCATGGAAAACGAATCATTATTCTCCATGCTGGCAGTGAAAATGGATTTATACCTAATGCCTTGCTGTTATCTGCCAAAAATATCAAAGAATCATGTGCCGACTATCATGAGGACATGACCTCCGACTTATTTGAAAAGTGGATAGAGCAGCAGTTAATACCAAACATTTCCCCAAATTCAGTGATTATTATGGACAATGCGCCATACCATTCCCGACAGAAAAACAAAATTCCGAATACAGGCACAAAAAAACAAGACATTATTGATTTTATGAAGGATAAGGGAATGGAAATACCACAAAAATCAACCAAAGCCATATTATTGGATCTTATTAAAAGACAAAAATTTGAAAAAGAGTATGTTGTTGACAATCTGCTTCAGCAAAATGGCCATGAAGTATTACGTCTACCTCCCTATTACTGCATTTTTAACCCGATTGAGTGGGTCTGGGCTGCTTTAAAAAAAAGTAAGAAAACATAATCAGACCCCTCAATTAAGTGAATCGCTATTGGCCACAATAAGAGATGCAGTATCTCATATTGCTGCCACAGACCTATGGAAGCAATGTTCTAGGCATATTATTGAAAAAGAAAATGAATATTGTGTTTTGCCTCCTGTAAATCTCGTTGTAATTCCTCTACCAGATGACTCTAGCGACAGCTCCGAAGGCGAGGATGATATATAAATACCTATAATGTAAGTCTTTATATACCTTTTTATATACCTACCTGCTATGTAAATATTTGCCTATGTCAAACGTTGGAATTCTGTAATTTTTCCATTTCTTAACTTTCAGTCAACATAAATTAAACTCCCAATATAAGTATTTTTTATCCCAAATCAAAAAAATAAGAAGATAGTAAAATCCATTTATTGTGATATAAAAACATTATTATTATCGTTCTTAATAAATGACCGCACGCCTATGATACGTCATGAAATTACAAAGGACGCGCCGACCAAAGGTTTTTATGCTATTTCAAGTGACTTCAGATAAAGTATATACATTAGCGTTCAATATGACGTTTCATCTCTTGTCCTCAATCTTCAACTTTATTTTTCTTTATAGATGACATGTTGGATTTTTCCACAGGTGGATAGAGTTTTTAATTCTGATTCCAAAAATGTATAATATCTCACGCATTTTTATTGTCAGTCAAAGACAGCAAACCACAGATTAGATGAAATTGATAGACATTAAGAAATAGGGTTAACTAAACACATTAAGCACGCCACTGGTTTCTTAGTCAGGTCAAGGGACTTTTAGACGAGAAAATATTTTCTTTTGACTCTAAACAAGTAGTTTGCGACTAGAAAAATTTGTCAAATAATAAAACTTCCAGAATTGAATAGATATTTGGGAATTTCCTTGGATCTCCATAAAGTTCATCAGGATGTGAAAAACTCAAAAAAACCCATAGTTTTTGAATGAAGAATATTTACTATACTGTCACTCTTAGGGTAATTCAGTTCGATACAAATTAAGCCCCTTAATGTCTTGACATACGAGGGATGTCTTTTAAGTTTTGCATATGGAAATAAAACAACACGGTAGGTAACTACCTTTAAAACTTTAAATGACTTTATTGTTTTTCGAAGTATTTTCCACGAAGATTAATACACATCTGCATGCGCTCGATCCAAATTTCGAAGCACTTATTCCACTCGTTTGATGGCACTTTTGATTGCGTCAACTGCTTGTTCTGGTGATTGGAACCTATGACCACGCAGTCTATTTTTAATTTTCAGGAAAGTAAAGAAATCGTTAGGTCTCAGATCGGGACTATATGGAGGATGGTCCAGTAAATCCACGTTTTCTTCCGTTAAATACTGCCTTGTTTTTTGGGCTGTGTCCGAGCTTGCATTGTCTTGGTGGAGGATGATTCTTTCGGGGTTGATTTTTCGAAGCTCGGTGATGAATTTTGGCAAACAAATGGTGGTATACCAATCCGCAGTAACAGTTCCTTGCTCATTAAGAGGAATTGTTGCAATATGACCCGCTTTTTACACAAATGTCGCGACCATCTTTTTCGGAACACTTCGAGAACGGATTACTTTTGTTGGCTTTTCTTCACCTTGGAACACTCCAACAGCCGACTGTCGTTTGTTTTCTGGTTCATAATAGTAAATCCACGATTCATCACCACTAACAATGCTCTACACATTTTTTGAGTTTCCGGAATTGAAACGGTTAAGCGTTTTTTGACACCAATTAACCCTGACTGCTTTCTGCTCTTCAGTCAACAGGTGGGGTATCCAACGAGAAACCAATTTTTTACTCCTAATTCTACATGTAAAATTTTTTCAATTGAGGTCTTTGAGATCTTCAAGGACACCTCAATCTCGCGATATGTCACATGTCTATCTTCAATGATGAGTTTGCGCACAGCATCGACGTTTTCCTGGGTGATTGGCGCTTCGTTGCCGATAACAGACAGTAACTCAGCAAGGCATTCTTGTTGCGATAATTGTCTCTGAAAATTATGGCGCGAAAATGTTCTCGGTTGAGTTCCATTTTTCTAATGACCTGGTGACACTTAATTCACTGTAGTGAGAACACAGCACGTATTGTTGTGAAACTTTGAATTTAAGTTTACTAAAGAGTGAGGTTAAGATTCAGTACTGACGTTCGGTCCGCGCGGCCTACTATGTTTCTATATGCAAAACTTAAAAGACATCCCTCGTAGTCTCTTCTAAATCACTCAGGTAATTAAATTGAAAATATAAATATTTAAAGAAATTAACTTGAACATTCTGTTCCTCGGCAAGGATGTCATAAAATATATGAGTTGACATGAACATTTTTTTATCGCCTTAATGAGATCTATCGACTGGTATATTATAAATCTAAATTACCGCATACAAAAATGATTAGATCTTTAATACAAAAAAAAATACGAGGACGAGCTGAAAGACACATATTGCGGGCAGTTCAAAATTCGATATTTTACGAAAAATTTGAGATTTCGCTTTCCGAAAATATCGAAATTTGAATTTGGGTAAAATTTTTCATGTTGCAAAGCCACTGTCCACCAGTGTAGATGACACTTTGTGCTGTCTTATTTGAAGAATATGCTACTTGTTTTGTTGCAGACTGTGTTCGTTGACCTTCACCCGACTGTCTATACTGAAGCCAGTGGGTTCCGATCTGCAGGCCGTCTCGATCGCCGTCAAAATGCAGTCCAGTAAACGTACCCTGCGCTCCAACGAACTCCCTCTTCCTCCGAACGGTCTGCTCGACCAACCCCTTGACATCACCTTCTGCCTCCAGTACCCGCACTTCCTCAAACGGGAGGGCAACAAGTTGCACATCCTCCTGCAGCGACGGAAGAGATACAAAAACCGGACGATGCTCGGGTTTAAGACGTTGGCTGAGGGCGTTATCAGGATGGACCAGGTAATATAATAATAGTAGTATCCCTATAGAAAAATCGGTTTGGTTGTTTGTTGTAGATTTATTCAGCATTAATTCTACAATATCAGTGTTACAAAGTATATCACATAATGTTTTGTCTTCAAATCTACGTATTTTTATAGAAAATTTCGTTACTATGAATTCTGGTTTTCTGAAATTTTTGATATTTTAGAATAACTGGAGTTCTGTCAGCATAAAATTTATTTTAGTATATACAGGGTGTTTCAGTTTATTGTTGTACTTTAAGATTCGATAGAACTTTTAAAATTAATGCATAAAGTCTATATAAACATGGGTCGAAAAATGCGCGGCTTCCGAAATACAGGGTGTTTAAATTTACTTTTTAAAATAGTTTTTTTTTAAATATTTCGAACAATATTTGATGTATGACAGTGAAAATTGGTATACAAGGGTTTTTTGGTACGACAAAACGAACCATGGGCATAGTTTTACTGTAGCCGCTAGAGGGCGCTCTCTACTGTACCTGTAGTGTATTAAAATGACCGAAAATTTTTTCTTAGTGCAATTTTTTGCTTTTTGAATAAAATAACTGATTCTTCGCACTTTTCTGCATAAAAAAGCTCTCCTGTGCGTTTTCGTTATAGTTAGCCGATTTTTAAGGTTCGATGCATTTTTAATTATTTATGGGAAAATAATATTTTTTTTACATTTTCGATTTGGGCATTACAAGTAATTAAGATGATCGTTTAAATTGTGTTTTTAAACACAGCAATAATTCCTAACTCCAAATAAACACAAAAAAACAGAATATTAATTTGTTTAATTTTCCAATATTATTTTTAACAAATTAAATTAATTATTTACAACTAAAATGCTATTGGATAGTTAGGAAAAACATACAAAATCTAAAGTAGTTGCTCGAAATGTAAACCCAATTGTTCAATACACAATTCACATCTACGAATGATCGAACGTGGTATATCACTATTCAAATAAAGCCTTATTTCATCACATGCATTCCTGATTCTGTCTCTCTCTTGTGGTTACGGGAGTCTGGTACACTTTTTCTTTTAGAAATCCCCACACAAAGAAATCTAATGGATTTAGGTCAGGGGATCGTGGAGGCTAGGCGACTGGTCCTCTACGGCCGATCCATCTTTCTGGATAATTTTCGTCCAGCTGGTTTCTAACTATTCTCGAATAATGAGCTGGAGAACCATCAAGCTGGAACCAGGCCAATCTTCTTAAATCTAACATAACATCGTCCCACATATTTGCATGTTCAGCCTTTAAAAATTCCAAGAAGGTCGCAGCATTTAACCTTGCAGGCAAAAGGTAGGGTCCAAATAGTCGATTACGGTAGATACCAATCCACACGTTAACACTAAATTCATGCTGAAAATTTCTTTCCCGAACTGCATGCGGATTTTCATGCGACCAAATATGTTGATTATGAAAATTTACCACTCCACGTCTAGTGAAGCATGACTCATCGGTCCATAAAACGTTACTTAAAAACTCCCTATTATTATCAGTTCTATCAAGAATCCACTGACAAAATGTGATTCTTCGTTCTCCGTCCCCTGGCTGTAGTCCTTGCACAGGTTGCAAATTGTCAGGACGTCTATGGTCATTTCTAAGAACACGGTGAACATGGCTTGCTGAAATTCCCAAGGCACCAGAAACTCTCCTAACACTTCTGGTCGGATCTCTATCAAACTCACGCAGAATCATACGGGTAAATAAACATTTATGTTTTGATCCCTTTGGAGATTTCCAAAACCATTTTCAATTATTTGGCGATGCACTCTTACAAATGCTGAGCGAGTTGGATGTCGTCTGGTTGGAAATCTTCGTGCGTTGTCTCTGGCTGCTTCTGCTGCGTTTCCATTTACAAAGCCATACACAAAATGAATATCCGCTAACTCTTGATTGGAGAATAAAAATGGCATTTTTATAAAACTTACAAAAAAAACAGATAAAAGAAACTAAATTTCGTGCATTCACAATTGCAAAAAAACGTTTCAGGTTTCAACAGACAACAAAACCAACTGTCAACTAATTGACGTTTAACCTTATTCTGCTTTCAATTTCAAAAATATTTGCAGGCACAGCCTACTTCTAAAAATTTTTTTTAACGTTATTTTATCATAAATAATTAAAAATGCATCGAACCTTAAAAATCGAAATATCTCAAAAACGGCTAACTATAACTAAAATTCACAAGAGAGCTTTTTTATGTTGAAAAGTGCGAAGAATCAGTTTTTTTATTCAAAAAGCAAAAAATTGCACTAAGAAAAAAATTTCGGTCATTTTAATACACTACAGGTACAGTAGAGAGCGCCCTTTAGCGGCTACAGTAAAACTATGCCCCTGGCTCGTTTTGTCGTACCAAAAAACCCTTGTATACCATTTTTCACTGTTATACATCAAATATTGTTCGAAATATTTAAAAAAAACTATTTTAGAAAGTAAATTTAAACATCCTGTATTTCGGATTCACGCATTTTTCGACCCATGTTTATATAGACTTTATGCATTAACTTTAAAAGTTCTATTGAATCTTAAAGGTATGCAACAATAAACTGAAACACCCTGTATATTTTTAAATAAGAGTATTCTGATAGCTTTAATTTGTGATTTTGAAAATTCAGTTTTACTCGCAGCGAACAAAAGAGTCGAACAATAATATAAAAAATGAGGAAGAATGATAGTGGTGTACACATCGCCTACCACCAGAAGCTCTGTTGACATTGACTTATCCTCTATCTTTTGATTTTATGTCTGATGTGAGGAACCTTTGATACTTTTTATGGTCTAAAAACGCGAAAAGTATTGTTGAGAAGACGATCTTTCTCTTGTAGATCGGAAATTATGTCCCATCATCAAACGTCTCGATCGCCTCAGTAACTATCGCTTACGCATACTTTATCTGAAGTCACTTGAAATAGCATAAAAACCTTTGGTCGGCGCGTCCTTTGTAATTTCATGACGTATCATAGGCGTGCGGTCATTTATTTAGAACGATAATAATAATGTTTTTATATCACAATAAATGGATTTTACTATCTTCTTATTTTTTGATTTGGGATAAAAAATACTTGTATTGGGAGTTTAATTTATGTTGACTGAAAGTCAAGAAATGGAAAAATTACAGAATTCCAACGTTTGACATAGGCAAATATTTACATAGCAGGTAGGTATATAAAAAGGTATATAAAGACTTACATTATAGGTATTTATATATCATCCTCGCCTTCGGAGCAGTCGCTAGAGTCATCTTGTAGAGGAATTACAACGGGATTTACAGGAGGCAAAACACAATATTCATTTTCTTTTTCAATAATATGCCTAGAACACTGCTTCCATAGGTCTGTGGCAGCAATATGAGATACTGCATCTCTTATTGTGGCCAATAGCGATTCACTTAATTGAGGGGTCTGATTATGTTTTCTTACTTTTTTTTTAAAGCAGCCCAGACCAACTCAATCGGGTTAAAAATGCAGTAATAGGGAGGTAGACGTAATACTTCATGGCCATTTTGCTGAAGCAGATTGTCAACAACATACTCTTTTTCAAATTTTTGTCTTTTAATAAGATCCAATAATATGGCTTTGGTTGATTTTTGTGGTATTTCCATTCCCTTATCCTTCATAAAATCAATAATGTCTTGTTTTTTTGTGCCTGTATTCGGAATTTTGTTTTTCTGTCGGGAATGGTATGGCGCATTGTCCATAATAATCACTGAATTTGGGGAAATGTTTGGTATTAACTGCTGCTCTATCCACTTTTCAAATAAGTCGGAGGTCATGTCCTCATGATAGTCGGCACATGATTCTTTGATATTTTTGGCAGATAACAGCAAGGCATTAGGTATAAATCCATTTTCACTGCCAGCATGGAGAATAATGATTCGTTTTCCACGGTTGCATGGTGCATTTAAAATGCACTTGTTGCTGTCGTCAACCCAGCCGTACTGCACAACATCATGGGTATCATACCACGTTTCATCCAGGTAAATCAGATTTCTTTTCTGCTCTCTATAGATTTTAACTTTGTGCAAAAATTCTTGGCGCAATTCAACGATTCGAGACGACTTCATAATCACCATTCTTTTATCTAATTTTTTGTATTGAAAACCACACAGTTTTACAATACAGTGCAGTGAGTCTAAGCATTTGTAATTATAAAAATCTTCAGGATAATCTTTTAATTTATCCCATATCATTTCCAACGTGGGCACCAAATTTTCTTTATAAAATCCGTATATTATACGACGAATATCTTCCTGAAAACCCACGTCTATTCTTTTTAATGTTTGCCCTATGCGCTTTCTGTGGAAGGAATGGTTGACTACATCTCCCCTTTTTATAACCCGATAAATGGTAGACCGACTGATTTTTGTCAGGATACAAATTCTGTTTAAAATTTGATTTTGCGAGGAATCTGGATTTTCGTTTTTCAGACAATCATACATATTTATTACTCTTTGGGTCTGTTCCTCTAAATCTTTATGAAAGAATTCTGCCTGCACAGGTTCATCAACCATCTCCTCGTGGCTTGAAGCATTTTCCCAAGGTCTCCTAAGAGCCATATTTAGGACACACAAGAACAATCAACCCAACAATTAAATCAACAAGTAAACTGAGTATTCAAAAGTCAAAAACACACAAACTAATAAAATCTATGAAAAAACACGGACAGACTAAAGAAAACACGTTTATTCACCGCTACACGGCACTGGCTAAACTGTTTCAATTTTCAGAAGCCACCTGCACTTGTTCGGAGCTCTGAAATACACGCTTTCTCATTGACTATGTCCACGCATAGGCGTGCTTTACTCCACGTGGACCGGTGAAACTGCCTTTGATCTTATACGGGGGATATTTGCTGCGAAATTTGGCGATTTTTGCAGCAACAGAGCGTGTTAAATATAGATATATAAAACGCACCCGGTATTTCACAGTGTTTCAAGTGACTTCAGATAAAGTTATACCTATAGCCGTGTAGTCAATGTGGCATGTATATAAATACGTGTGGTAACGAGGGTGGAAACAACCGGCTGAGCCGCCGCGCCGTTTTTTCAGCGCCATTAAAAATTATTCGAATCGCAATGCCTACAATACATAGACAGGCACACAGCATAGCGTGCACGTAAATCGCCTTGTAAATGCGAACGGATAACACGAAAGCGCCGGGTCGCCGGTCGGTCCAACATCGATAGGGA